TAATTACCCGAAGAGATCCTATCCTCCCTCGATTTACGAATCATCTCACGGAATTCGCATGTCAGTGTCGACAGGGACTTGACGCATGCTGCGAAAATGGCACCATCTACAGACGCCTTGTTGCTGCCTCATCTCGCGAGCAATCTGTCACTGCATTTAAATACCACCACCTGATGAAATAAGTTGGTTGCGCTTGTCCACGTAACGGGTGTTTGAGACCTATTAGAAAAAAATTCCAGACTTCGAGTTCATAGCACTCACAACTAGCTGGACAGGAAAACTGTACCGAAGAAAGTGAACTTCAATCAAAGTGTTCGCGAGCGCGACGGTTTCTACGTCACCACGGTGTAAGTTAGGCGGCGGATCGTAGAAAGAGGGGGATCTGCAGGACGGCTGACGCCGTGTTTCCTGACAAGGCGCATTTTGACAACATTATCTAAGATTTAGACAGGTTTCCATATGATAGCTGCTGGTTTTGGCACTCCGTATCTTTCTGGACTACGAGCATTCTGGAAAGTACATAGTCGACACGGTTTTCTATCGAAGCCCTTATTTGTAACAACGAAATCACCCACTGCTGCGAAATGCACCATACTTTCGCCACTCGAACAATGGTTTTTCACTGGATTCTGGTAAAGAACTCGTCGTGTCAGCACTAAACTGCCTCATTCTGACATCGTAAGTAATTTCAACGGCAATGCGCGGACGTCTGGAAGCGCCCTGTCGCCGGCCATAAAAGGTCTCGTTCGTCGACCTTGTTAACGACCACACGAAGACAGACAAGCGCAATGCTTAAAGTCATCAATTTCCTGCATACAAATTAAGTCGACGTCTAATCACGCGAAGTTATCGCAACACTGTGTCAGGCAGAATGGTCAATGACGTCGCTATGCTACAAGTGAAGGCGCTTCTCAGAGTCAAGTACCGCAATGGTGTGCGAGGTATAATCTGGCAGGTAAATCTCAGACGGAAGGACAACGATCACAGTGAGCGTAGACAACACTTCCATGTTAGAACATGTTCAGTCCAGTGAAAACCTTAGCATGAGCGGAGATTTGGGGTGAACATCCTGTAGTTTGGCCTAAGTCGGGTTCCCTAGTTTTCAACTCGTTCTTTAGATAGAGATTCAACGCATAAGGTGAGAGACAGTTACAGCTTATTTAAAGCCAGTTCCTAACCACCGTGTCACAGCACCATTATCAGGCCACGAGTTATCAATTTTTAACCATCTCCACAGCTCGTTAACAGCGCCTCGATGAGCCACGACTACTTTTTTGCCAGGCAAAAAGGCTTGCGTTTGTTGAAAATGAAAAATATTTAGTAGGAAAAAGCGCGTGAGCTTTGAAAAGTACTACCAAAACGGGAGAATAAAATATTAGGACTGAATTATAGTGTGAAAAATTCAGTTAGCCCAGAGAAACGAACGATACACGAAAACAAAGTAGCGAAGATCTCTGGCGTTGCAAAAAAGAGGTAGATATGGAATGTCTAACTTTGCAGAATCGCACTTGCCCAAACATAATTTATTAGACACTTTTAGAAGAATGTGACGGTATGCGGGCACGCAAATGATGAAAAATTAAAAGGGAATAATTGATTTATTAAAAGGGGAGAGCGGATATGAAGAAAATAAAGCTTTATCCGCTGATAAAGATAATAAAAACAGCACACAAAAAATAATCAAAGAACTTGCTTACGATTTAGAAAAGTATGTTAGATGTGAGCATGTTCACAATGTTTTTTGATGCTTGGTACTTATAACTCATATAAGGAACCTTACCGCGGGAAGATTTGAAGCAACAAATATTATCGAAATACTGAAAATAAGTGGATTTCCACACGTAAAATATACCGCTACAAATTGAAAAAAATCCAAAAAAAGGAAAAATAGACAACGCTGAGAATAAAAAAGTTGTTGCTATCTTACATAACTGTCCAAGTTTTCTGATTCGTCAGCTAAATAAACTTAGTAAGTTTTAGAAAAAAACACCTTTAATTGTATGATTACAACGAGATACTTACGGGATTTGTGTAATTGACATCAACGCCTGAAGCAATGAGGTCTGAAATTTTTTTCGAATCACCGGCACGTGCAGCACGGAGGAGACTTTGGCCAACGTCACCCTAAAGAAGAGAATATCGCGTTAATCACAGTTCTCAAACAACCATTTCCAATTAATCATATTCAAGGGTTTCAGTATGTGACTTTATTTTGAGTCAATTCCAACAGGCTGTGACAAAAACCTGTCATGTTTAATTATGCCCGAGGCCATTAATGACACATCTAACGGGTTATACCAGAAATATTATGCATACCGATTGGCTAAGCGTCACGAAGAAAAAACGAGCGGTATGTATAGGTCAAAACCAGAACGGTATTTTGACCTCATACATTATGTGAGGATCATTTAACATACAGTGAGCACAGATGCTATGTAAAATTACCGTCTTCTTAAGAAGGTACGGAAGACATGAGAGGCGAACACTTATGCATGAAGAACGGATAAAAAATTGAAAACTAAAAGGAACTCCATTCAAGTTCCCTTGAAACACAATAATAGACAGTTAGAAAACTGAAACAGTTATTGTCAGAAATGAAATTTAAGGTTAGCACCGAAAATTCTGAATCGTATTCGTGCGCTTCATCATATCAAGATGAATACTGTCAGGAAATCTGACACCCCCCGAATTTTATGCTGAATTTAATGAAAACTCACAAGAGTAGTTAAAACAAAAAGGCATTTGAACACTCAATCGAAAGCAATATTGAGGAATTGTACAGGTGGGCGGAGAGTGGAATCATGGGCAGCAGCGAGCCTAAATACCAGTAGTCAAAAAACACAGGTAGAGCTCTCCGGGTGTGATACCAGCATAGAAAGGTTATTAGAAGACTTTTCAAGAAGTTGCAATGCTCCGCTACTTTATAGGCTAAATAAAAGACATTTCTAGAGGAGACGACTCTAAAAACTGGCCTTTACTTTGATCTACATGTACCGAATATTCGGTCTGATTTCAAAGGGGCCTCGACAGTTTTTGCATGTTGAATTGCAAGAAACAAGCTTAACGTTTGGATTAGTTAGCTTAGATGGAAAATTGAATCGGCGAACTCAAACAGCCGAATTTCGGCGGTAACCACATCCGTTCGTAATTAGCATTTACGTAAACGACGTCATCTGTTGGCATTTTAATATTAACAGAAGTCTAACGTCAATGACGACAGCACTGTTCATAATCATATCAAGAGTTTCGGTTTGTAATGCTTTGCAAATGAAAACAGCGTACAATTGTACACAGAAAATATAAGTTTTCAAGAAAACGATGAAATTTGTGAAGAAAAATATATTGGTCCTCACAAATTTTCGAATAAGTAAGAATAGCTTTTAAATTTGACAACTTACATGGGCAGCGGGTTTTCCAGCGCCGTGCTGGTCCATCCCTTTAGTCATCGAAATTTAAGACGAATAACCCTGAAGAACGAAAATAATGACCGCCACAATGACCGGCAACAATTGGCTAAGCAGTATTGCAGCTATGCCCAGCTGATTGGCTTGAACGGCTTTCAAGGTCATGCCACTGAAGGTTGTTGAATGTTCTCTAGACGTAAGAACTCAGAGTTCGAAGGTTTGTTTATTTCGAATGCAATATGGAGAGGTGTGAAGACTTCGCAGTTTTTTGCTGCATTTTACATTGCTCCACGCGAACGGAGAGGCAACGGTTAAGAATTTGATATCCTGAGGACCTCATTGAGGACGTAGTTTGTAACAATACAGCTGATGCTGCGGCAAGCAATAACGACCAAAGCAGCGTGGTAGCGCATTTACATTTTACCTTCAAACGAAATTGAGCGGAAAAAATAAAGATAGAAATAACCAAAATAAAGCCATTAGCATCAAATGAGGGTGTTAATGAACGCGTCGGGCCCCAACCAAGAAAAATCTAATTCGCACGTCAGTAACCCAAACTAGTATAGTTTGAAGTCTAGTCGGAGTCGCCGTACAGGAGATTCACTGGCTAAGACCACTAGTCTTAACG